AAGTGATTGTTAGATACTTGAGCATCAATGTTTATATTAACTGCTCTTAATTAAAATAAATTAAATTATTGTAAAGTATTAATAAATCAATGGCACTGTAATATATTTACCTATTCAACTAACAAAATCAAATCTAACTAAGTGGCATTACATAATTACCAGCACATTCAGTTCATACACGAACAAACAAAACGATACTTTAATCAAAACAACGCGAGGCCCTTGTTAAAATCAAAACCGAACTGACAATCAAAATTGTTTCCAATTTTTAAACGAAAATGGAATTATACTCTTAATTAGAAGAAGAAAAACGTACAATTCGATGGCCGTCCACGAAAAAATGGAATAACGTGTAAAGTGTAATGAATCGAAACTTGTTTCGTGTAGAGCAAGTGCGGGGCTGTGGGCACTCGTTTCCTATTATTGTCACGTGATGAAAATAACAATTTTACATTACGAAGTCGATGCGCGATTTAATTGACGCTGCGGAGCCTGCAGATACACGTGTACAGCTCATTGCGACACCCAATAAAGCTCTTTCGTTCTTTTGTAAATGACCGAAGTTATAATTTCCCCGGCGAATTAATCCTATCAGTGAAATACCTAGAAAAAATAATCCTCTTTTTATCGGATTGAAAGTATCGCGCCAATTAATCTTCTTACAGATATTGTTGTGCTGTTAGAGAATAACTTCAGATTTCATTATTTTGTAGATGAGTTAGTCAGGTCTGTTGTTCTATTTCAGACGTGAAGTTTCAGTTACATGGACATTGTGCTGACGAAAGATTTGGCAGTGCACCGCAATCGAGCTGGGTTTTTGGATGTTTTTCAAGAAAACGCCTTGTGATAGATAGAAGTTTTTGTAGTAATTTTCTGAAACAATAAAAATGATAAAGTTTTCGTTGAGATTTAGCTTCTATCTATACTAATGACAAAGACGTTAATTGTACTTTCAAACACTATGAAAGTACTGACCTAATTTTAAAAATTATTTCTAAGTTTTTATACAAAGTATACCACGAGTTATTTTCGTATGAATTAAAGATGTATTTTTAGTATACTGATATAAACTAAACAAGTTTTAAAAATCAGTTTATATCTAAAGTTTACACTATGAAGTGTAGTGGATTCGTTAAAACTTTTCACTAAATTGATTTCTTCTTCTTCTTCTAATCTTAATTGATTTCTTTCTTCTCTAATACAGAGACACTATCGTGGAATCTAGATTTAAAGAACTACATTTTTGTAAATTAAAAATAGAGGTATCTTTTAGGTTTTAGAAAATTTTAATTCTAGTTAGCATATTAGTAAAACAATAACAATCCATGAGGGGAATCCAATTGTTATGATTGATTGTTTGTTCACGAAACAAATCCGACAAGGCAAACACAGGACTATGTTAATACAGACAGATGTTTCTTTGTTATGCAAATGCATGGATGTATCCCCTCGGCTGACGGCTGAGCCGTGTCCGTTGTACCGCTGAAGGCTACGACTCCGTTACCTGTAACTCTACAAGCTAAATGGTCAATTATGTGGCCATACGTCTACCTCAACACAAAGGCCGAACGAATTCGCATCAAATTTGAGGCTATCACTCGATTATACTCGATTAATCGATCCTACCATCCACATACCCGTTTTACACTCCCCCAATTTAAGCTAACGAAATTTCAACTCGCAACGAACTTACGACAATTTTGATATTAGTGAATTGTACAGAGATAGCCATTATATTTTATATTTTCTCACATCTTAAAACTGGACCCGATCCCAACCGTTTGCTACGCTTATGTCCCTAACAAATGACTTTTTTGTTAAAATCGCGGATGTAGCAGTTGCAGTACCTACTTAGCGGGGTGATAATAATTATTTATGTCGCTTGCAACATGTAGGTAACACACGTTTAAAGTTTTTGCACTTGTCTGGAGGGGTATTGTGATAACATTGCATGTTTTATTCATATACTTACGTTGACGCTTATTACATGGACTTACGTTGCCTATGTCTTCACGTGTTTTGATTAATAATACAGTCCTGTAAATCGTAGGCGTTTTATTCATACAAATAACATGCTTAATTCTCATTATCATCATAGGCCGTTTAATCTGTAGGTAATCACACTACGATACAGCATCGATTGTATCTCGATCACAACCCTATCGATAAACAATTATTGCTTGGCTTATGTTAATGTGGCGAAAATGAATTTATCCAGGTATATTGCCGCACAATCCAATACACCTTACGTAATACAACGGCATTTGCCTCGGGTACCCTGCGTTCTGTGACATGCAAATCTTGGTGATAGTATTAAATCGGGCAGAGGGACGCGTGTGGCCAGGGTTGCCAGATCTACCAATACATTTCCATTCCAATATTCGATGTCTCAAACATCTGGAATTTTGTATTTGGGATTCGATGCATTTTGGTTCGAGTAATATAAGAATGCTGTACTCGTAATTATTTGTTAGAAGGATATCTTTGAGCAGAAATTTAAACTTACTTTCATGATTTTTAAGTTCAATTTATTTAAGTAATTTATTTTTAAAATATTTGCTTAAAGAAATGATTCAGTAACAAAAGCTCACTACTGACCGATAATGGACCAATATTCTTAACATTTTTAATCACGGTTGATTAGCAAACAAGTTACTTTAAAACAACAAAAAAAGCTTCCTGGTATATAAGCTACATTTTTGAAACACATTGACAAAAATTATTTCGGCCCAATAATTTGGGACAAAACGTTATAAAATCGTGGGCCAAAATATTTTGGGCAGCTGTACCTAACTCCTCGTGCGGATAATTTGCTACCAGCGGATTTATGTAACGGGTGTACGTGGATGACATTTTAAATCTCTCTGATGACCAGTGGCCGTCTCAACGTTGTGTATGAAAAACAATGCGCAGAGGTGGATTCTAGAACACCTATAACTATAATGAGATATAGATATTCAACGTATATTATTTACTTGCGTGCAAAACTATTGTGTGTTGTACCTACACACTTACTCGTAGGTTAGTTTTGCAGATGAATCGCGATGCCTATTTTTTATCATACAAATAAATAACATCATAATAAAATACAAGTTTTAAATGACTTAATGAATATAAAAAACTAAAAAATAATGTTGGTCCTGGATTTGTCTTCGGGAATATGAAATGTGCTGAAAGTCATCAATAAAACTTCCATTCAGACGTTGAAGGCAGTTTTTACCACATCTAGCTTATTAAAGTTGCCTAACTATAGTTGTTGCTTATTTTTAAACCTTGTGTGCCCATTATGTACTTTCCAAAAGATAGGTAGACAGTTTTATAGAGGCAGAATTCGAACCAATTAACTTCGTTTCTTTTTTTAAACATTTTCAGTACCGATTACATATTTTCTTCTTGTTTAATCTTTCTTGTTATTAGTATGGTAACAAGATTTTTATATGCAGGGATGATGCATATGACAACAGCTTTTGAAAAGTTGAATAATTCAAACAATGCCATTATAACGCAAATCAATTCAAGAAAAAAATTATAACTTCCGGCTAACGTAATTATTGTATTATTACTCATAGAAAATAATAGGCAATTAGGTAATTGAATTGACGGCTAAAACTTTCTATCAATTACGTATTCAGCTAATAACAATACTTAGAACGTGATATTACTTAACAATTGTATTATAAAATTATACTGTTATGAATATTGTGAATCCTTGGCTATAAAATTACGAAAGAAATTGTACCTAATCAGCGTTGAATCATTGTGAACCTACGAGTACCTAAATGAAAATTAAGTTATGCAAGAGTAACTTTTCGGAAATCATACATTGAAGCAAAAACACTGTCCTGCAAAACTCTTTAAATAGGTTCTAAATAAAGATTTGTCTTTTGTAATTTAGAAAAAAATATATACCAAATATATTTCAAAAAATAAAAAACATTTTATAATAAATCTCATCAGCTTTCCTTGAAAATAGTCTAGGAAAAACAGGAAAAGGATTTCCTTTTCCAATTAAAATAGTTTAATAATATACTTTACTATATTTATAGTAAAGTATATTATTAAACTATTTTTCAAGCCCTTTTTATTTCGTAAGTAGGTTGTGTAAGTACCTACTTAAAAAGGGACTTATTGCAATTTTAGAAGTGCGACACCCACTTTTGCAGGTCAGTGTATTTATTTTCCTTACAATAATTCAGATTTAAAAAATACAGCTATCATACAAAGGCTATTCTCAACGGAAAACTCTGGAAAGGTGAGGGTGTACAAGCAGCTTAAACAACTGGGCAGCTTTGTTTGACGCACAGGAACATAATATTTTATTATCCAGACCGTCTAATGGAAAAGCTTCTTCTCAGTGAGCCTAGGCCTTTGTTCGAGGTGTCACACTGTCACACTTCGAGTGACCGTAGTGTGACGAGTGCTTTATTCTTTTGCAGACACCCGCCCACAGATACATTAAGGAATATTCTTTCATAAGAACTTTGTATCATGTTACAACCACAAGGTGCCTTACCTTCTTGGTGCGTTAGGTCACTATTTACTGGATTAATTAAATAAGCATATTATTGTCTTTTTCAAATAGCAAAAACTGTTAGTTAACAATATACGTTTAAAAAGTAATGGAAGTAAAATTTAAATAAGCTGCGCATAGAAAACAATAAAATAAAAAAAAAACATAAAATTTGGTAATATTATCCGGCGTTCTTATACAAGATTAATGGGCGTTCCTTTACAAGCAGTTTAATTAATGGCAGTGATTTTTAAATCAGATTGTTGGCCATTGCCAATTTTCCAGTTTACATGTGGAAAAAGTTTCGATGTAATCCAATCCATTCCGCATGGATATCGAATAACAAGTACTGAATATATGAATCCTTAACACAGTCTAGGAAAAACAGGAAACGTAGCAACTTCGTGTTCGTATTGGAATGCTGTAAAATTTTAACATAAAATTCTGTAACTATGAAAAAATACAATAACGTTGTTTTTATTTGTTTCAGATTTAACCGCCGACCAACTTCGTGGAAAACGTACGGAGTGAAATAATAATGTTCACATCCAAACACACTTGAAACACTATCACCTAGATTTCGTTAGTTTAACAAAACAGTAGAGAAGCACACACAACTACTTTTCATTCAAACTATGCGGAAACATGGCAAACAAACGGCAACTTTAAGCGCGGACGTTACGTCACTGAAGGGTGTCTCACACTGACTCAGTCACTCACACACGCACCGACCACCCCAACAACAAGCTAATTCGTACACTAAACGTGATTTGCAGTGGTGTGGGTAGCGCGGGGACTCGGAATTCGAACTCTCCTGGTATTATGCTCGCCTAGTACCCGATGTAACGAAGAGGTGGCTCAATCCAGCCGAGTGGCCCTCGTGTTTAGGTTACGTCCGATGCTAACGCACACACCCACATAAACACACGTGCTAGCTAACTCATGACACTTGAGTGAGTACTTCGCAAATTCACAGGGTAATTAACCGGCATTCCAAAATTAATAAGCCTGCAGCCAGCATAAATCGGTGCTGATTGGTTGCAAGCGCTGAAGAGGGACGGATGAATTTAACTACTAAGGGTGAGTTGATGCGGTTATCTTGGTACTTACCTGAGCTACTTTGCGAATGTTTGGTGAGGACATTCTGATTAATATCCTATCCCTTTAAACCTATAAAATCCTATCCTTAAAAAACAAACTTAGGAAAACTGTACCAAAACAGCTATTGCTCGTTTGTACCTTAAAGTTCAAAGATAATTCTATTTTTAATTTATTAAAACAATATACGTAAGACTTGACACGTGTGCAATCATGGGACTAGCTAGGCAACAAATTGAGTGCAATGAACACGTCAGTGCCTTATGAGTTACCTAGGGCTAAAAGTGTTCTAGTAATTATACTAGTGATGCGCCAAATAGCTCTAAATTTATTAATTAATTAATGAAATACCTAAACGTAAAATGTGGCGTTTAGAATGTAATGGTAACGGAAAATTGGGTGATATTTTAAAAATGATTGGTATTATAGCCTGACCAGGAACATAAAAAGTAAACCCTAGCATAGAGGCGCGTCAATTGCATTTGATAGTGCAACACTGAGTACAGTCGTACCTGTGTTAAATTAATAGGCTAACTTTATGTATCAGGATTCAGGATTACGGGCTAATTTGATATTTTAATAAATTAACGAAAAAATATTATTATAGGTAAATAAATGGTTTAAATAAATTAAATGAAACCATCAATCGAGTTAGTAGGATTTATTTTATTATTCATCAATAATCAAATTCAGAACTTGAATATTCAACTGCAATGTCTGTTCATGAACGCTTCAAACTCGGTACTTCTTTCCCAATTCCATAAAATTCAACACTTAGAGATAAAAAACTTTAAAATAGGTAATTGAAACAAACCACAGCTAATTTTCATAGTGGACTGTACTATACGATAAATATGTCAGTCAATTTGACAACCTTTGTCGAAAACATTATTCAATGAAAATATTGTCCGAACCCTTAGTATTTCTCTTCGACAAATACTTTAACACATTGTGAACCACTTTTCTTTCACGACTATAAAAAGATTTTAGCAATTTAATTCACGAAATCAATTGCGCACATTTAAAATAAAGTTTGTTTATACTTTGACAGCAATAGACTGTTGCCATTAAAAGAAATTAGTACCATTAGTTTTCCGCAAAATGGCGAGGGTTTTTATGTTCCTGGTCAGGCTATAAATCACATACATCAATCGAATTTAAATTAACAGAAATAGGTACCATTTATTTTTTATAAACATAAATTATTTAATAATAATCTCTTTGTAAAATTTGATCAAACAATCACAAAAATGAGGTGTTAAACAAACTGTTCATTTTTAAATCACGATAGATTTCAGTCCACCTACTTAAAAAGACAAGTGACGACGCTGTTCTTTTCGTTATTTTAAAAAACAAGTGACTGCGCACTATTGTTTTTCTTCCCCATCATCACAAACGCACCGCGGCTCGCACCCCACGCTTTGATTACTGAGGTGTAAGTGGAGTTTACATGAGCCATTAACGTGCGCCTATAAGATGCGTCGTAAACTAACTGCTTAATTGATTTAACTATCAAAGAGATTCCGTGTGGTCTCGTCAAGGTTAGTGTTCGTTTTAATTTCTGATCTTCATTTATTTGTTTTGCAGAAGGAGGGGTAAAAATATTGAATTCAAATCACAATATTGGGCCTAAAATCAACAGCATAGAGTTTTCAATCAATGTCGACAATACTTCTGTTAGTTTTCTAAGTATGAAGTAGACTCTACCTTCATTGAATTTGTAGGGAGAGTTATTATTCCTAAAGCAAAATCGGTAAAACTCTAGCAAATAATAAGATAAGCTCAAGACAGTCATTTTCTAATACTGCCTATAAAACTCTGTTTGATTTTCTCCACAAACAATTCGGTAGAAGATAATGTAGACTTTACGTTAGCAAAAATTAAATAATATCCCATAAATAGTTAACATAAAGTACCCACTTATTACCCAAACACGCTCTACAAAAATATGAAAAAAGTAATGAAAAGAATTAAAACGTAAATTCATAGCAAACTAAACGATGCATGTCATGTTAGTAACTCACACTCATAATTGTGGGTAGTCCTACGCCCTCACTTATTTCATTAAGTTTAGCTTCCCGCACGGGGAAGCCCATTGTTCTTGGACCATTTACAAAGCCATTATGTCTGATTTAGACGATAAGAACTTGCACACGGCTAAGAAATAAATATCTATTAATATCTTTGAATTTATGTCTAGGAGTTAGAATTAGTTTGAATTATTTTTTGTTAGTTTAATTTGTAAATATTTACGTGTTACACACTCCCAAGTCCCAACTCTATAATACTTGCAAGGCCTTGAATTTTTTAATGTTTTAATAATAAGAAGAAATCACAATAGAGAAAAATGCTACTTACAAATTAAGCAAAGTGCCTGGACTCTATGACTCTACCGACCCAGTACTTTTAAAATTGTAATTAGTTAGCTATTTATTATTATTGCCGCTTATTATTGTTTTATTATTCTAACAAAAGATACAAAAATAAATCTATATGTGCTATGTCCATTCAGCAAATATTTCTGTACTGAAAACTTTCTGACCTTGCTCTATGAAAATTCATTCGGTCAATTTGTTGCCAATTTGTTCCATTTCACCTTAAAATGTTTGGATAGCAATTAATTCAAAAACTATTACTGTAAAAAATATTACACCTAAGTACCTACTCTATCTTTGGAAAAATCGGTTGGGTCTTCATGAAAAGATATAAAAGTTAAAAAAAAGTACATTTTAATTGAAAAAACTGGCTGTCACTGCTAAGTATTTGGTTAATTATTACCCACAAAGTAGAATCCATACGCATTCGTCTCTAATACGCGTTTCGTCCGTTCGAATAATCGCACCCACCGCGGGCGCTCGCACAATGTTGTCCGCTCGAGTACCTACTAAACATGCATTTCTCCTCGATGTATCGAATTTGAACCAATCGATTTGTTACGAGCATCCCGCGTACTGAATTCAATGGAAATATCATCTAGATAGATCTTGATGAAGCCTTGCTGTACCTCTGCGACTTTGAAAACCAATAGGATCTCAGGATTTCAGCGCTGATCTTAGTCTCTACTTATAAAGCATAATATATCACACAGCTATCAGTTAAATACACAGAGGGTTAAAACGCCAGAAAGCGATCTCTCAGACAACTAAAAAAATATTAAAAATTAACCATAAATATTAAATTATTTTAATCAAACAAAACATAATAATTATTCCTTTTCTATTCCTTTTTCCAAGATCCTATTTCAATGTTGTTTATCACCTCTATTATTTAATTGCCAACCGAAAAAATAAGAGTTTCTAAGGAGAAAATATAGCTTCATGATATTTTTTCGGTGCATAATTAAAAAATATTGGTGTATAATTAAAACTGTGTGTTTAGATATTGTATGTTTTTCAGGGCTGACCGACGACCACAATGCTGTGCGGACACTAAACTTCTTCGTTATCATCACATAACACACTATAACTCCAACTCAAGTCCCAAAATTCAGCATATCGTATAGATTGCCATCTCCATATAAACTTGTAGTAATTGGCATAATTATTTCATTCACTTATCGTCTAGTTCAAAACTATAGAGGGGTACTGAACACAGAGGTAGCCACTCTGCCACATTAAATTTATTATCGTTGAATAACATTCCACAATGGATAACTACTTAATATAATTATCTACATTATAGGAATATTTCACAACTGTATTCAGTTCTGGCACCTCACTAGCCACACGAATTTCGTCAACATAATCAATTTCAGTATTATTCATGAGTACCGTTGTTTATTTTTAATGACAATAACTCATGGATAAGGCCTTAAATTGATTATAGTAATCACAAACGCTTCACTTACAAGCTCTCAAGCTTTTACATTACACAAGTCTAATGCTGAGCGATTTAGAGAATGACAACAAGAAGTAGTGACCTCACTCCTACAAGAATGTCCTCACGTACGCTGTGCGTTGTCTGCCTGTGCGAATGCCTCCGTGACCCTTCGGAGAGCTGGTAAGTATCAAACACTTTATGCCTCAAATACCTAGTTGCCTGAACAAAAATTGTTAAAGTATCAATTACACTTCAGCCAAAAGATGGCGACGTTGCAGCGTCGTGTTGTTTCAAAACAATGAGGGTTTTCGCGAATGAAAAATCCGCCAGATGGCAATACGTAGACGCGAGGTCCAAATGCTGCATGATTGGTTATTTTTGACATGACATTGACAGATATGTCAAAATCCACCAATCACGCAGCAGTCAGACCCCTCATCCACGTCCCGCCATCTAGCGGATCTTTCATTCGCGAAAACCCTCATTGAACTTTTGCGCCATAATGTTCCATTTATACACGTACATTTTAAATTAAGAGCGTTTGAGCAGTTTGAGTCTTTACCTTCACCACGTCATGCCAGTCATGTAGGTAAGGACAACGTTTATAAAACAATTTTCGTACAGACAACTAAGTACTTACCGCTTTCTTTTCGGAATGTAATTCATACTTACAAAAACAGTAAATAAAAACAGTAAAGTTATTCATATTGTGTTGTCGAAACTATGTCGATATTACACGTTTACGACCTATGTCAACGTGTTTTGAAGAGACCTACCTACAAGACAAAAGATGTCTATGACCCCAACCCCAAAGTAACGGTTCTCAATAAAGAATTGTATGGGATGTCTTAGGACTTCACACGTGAAATTGTCTAAATTTTCTTACAGATATGTATGACTTCGTAAATTCGTATTACCATAAACATTTTTCGTTTTTTTTTTCATTATTTTTCAAATCAACATCGGGTGGGTGAGAGCAATCGTTTGCACCGCACTCTATCAGAACTTTGAAATTATCCTACATTTAAATGAAAGTTATTCAAATGTGTGTATTTTTCAACTGTTACATAAAAATTTAGGTTTAAAAATTTTGTTTGTCAACAGTAAAAATACAACAGTCTAACTACTGAAACTTTCACTTTATTCAAATTTTCCACACAAA